AGGCAAATGTAGTCCCTGTTCACAAAAAGAAGAGCAGAGCAACTACAGACCAGTGTCACTCCTGTCAATCACTGGTAAGATCCTTGAGACAATAATCTCAAGACAAATGAGATTTTTGACTACCACTCACTACTTTGTGGCCGTCAATATGGCTTCAGGAAAGGTTACTCTGCTGCTGATCTGTTGTTAAACCTCTCTACTAAGTGACACCAGTCACTGGATGAATCCAAAGCCAGCTGTGTGGTAGCACTGGACATTGCTGGTGCTTTCGACCGGGTGTGGCACCAGGGCCTCTTAGCAAAACTGCAAGCTCTGGGAATTGCAGGCTCTACACTATGTCTCCTCAGTGATTACCTTCATGGTAGATCTCTAAGGGTAGTTGTCAATGGAACAGAATCAGCAAGACATCCTATTGGGGCAAGTGTTCCACAAGGAAGTGTTCTGGGACCATTGTTATGGAATGTCTACTTCAATGACCTTCATCTCATCCCAGAATCCCATGCATATGCAGACGACTGTACACTGACATTCACTTATCCAAGAGAAGAAATGCCAGCTGCTCTAAGCTACATCAATCACCAGCTAAGAGCTATATCAGCTTGGGGAAATAGATGGCAAGTAACATTTGCACCTGAGAAAACGCAAATGATGATCTCTAGGCACCATGATGGTAATGCTGGTGCAGTAGTAAGGATGAATGGGAGGGTGTTGGCACCTGGGGAAGATGATATCCTTGGGGTGAAATTTGACTTCAAACTGACAATGAAAAACCACGTTGTAAATCTTGCAAACTAGGCAGCCAGGAAGCTTACAGCACTTCGCCGTATCTCGCATCTGTTTGACAGTAGGGGTTGCAAGATTTTGTACGAGGCACAAGTACGCTCACACCTTGAGTATGCTCCACTTTCTTGGTTCGCCTGCCCCCCTTCTCATCTCCGACTGCTTGACAGAGTAGAGAACAGAGCAAGACGTCTCATCTCTTGCCTGGACCCATCCTGGATAGATCTGTCATTTCAGCAGAGCCTTCAACACAGGAGGGATGTGGGTGGCCTTACTGTTATGTACAAGGCCAATATTGTCAAAGTACCACACTTGGATCCACTTCGAGGACAGCGAGAAACAAGCTTCTATACTACAAGACGGGCAGAAAACAGCAACTCCACTCTGGCTGTACCCTTCTCCAGAACATCACTTCATCTGAGATCATTGATCCCCAGGATCATAATGCTGTACATTCGTACAGCATTATGATGTCAACGAGATAAAGTCACTTGATGGTCATGAAGCTTGGGGAAGGACAAAGAAGACTGCAGATGGAGTACATGCTCAGGGGTCAAAGACTGCAAACCTTGCTCAAGGAAAAGGATCTTGGGGTGAGCATCACACCAAACACATCTCCTAAGGCACACATCAATCAAATAACTGCTGCAGCATATGGGCACCTGGCAAACCTAAGAATAGCATTTCGACATCTAAGTAAGGAGTTATTCACGACACTGTACACTGTGTATGTCAGGCCCATATTGGAGTATGCAGCACCAGTATGGAACCCACACCTGGTCAAGCACGTCAAGAAATTAGAGACAGTGCAAAGATTTGCAACAAGATTAGTTCCGGAGCAAAGGGGTATGTCCTACAAGGAGAGAAGTCAATTGAACCCAACCTGAAGACACTGGAGGAAAGGCAGGACATGATCAATATTTTTGTATTATATTCACTGAATTAATTTAATTCTATGTATATCTTTGATATCTTTATATATATATATTTAAAATGTTTAATATCCTTTTAGTTTTCAGTCAGGTTTAAGGTTACTCAAGATGGTCTGCACAACCATAGGTTTACCAGGTGCAATATTAACTGTCAAGTCATATTTTGTACAAACTATGTATCATGAAGAAATAAAGAACTTGAATGTAAAACTGCATTTGAAGTCTTAGGTCCTTTAACAAAAATACTATTTTATTTGGGGTCTACAAAGAAACCCTCATTTCCTATGGCAAAGCAAGTTGGCTTTGAACACATTCTCTTTAAACAACTGTTTCTAAAAATGCACCACCACTGAGAGTGAAGTACAACTCCAATTAAGTGGCCAATAGGTAATTACTTATCAACTTGACAAAATGTTCAACGCTTGTTTAAATATGCACTTCTGTATACAGGCGGGCCCCACTGTACAGCGCTTCGCTTTACGGCGTTTTGCTAATGCAGCGGTTTTCAATCATACCCATTCTTCATTTATTCAGACTTCCTACAATATATTCACCACTCACTATAAGCTAAGGATGAAAATATTTTAAGTAATGTGTGTACTATGTATGCATTTTACAGGTCTAGCTCTATTAACATTATTTTATTAACACACTGGCCGATTCCCACCCAGGCAGGGTGGCCCGAAAAAGAAAAACTTTCACCATCATTCACTCCATCACTGTCTTGGCAGAAGGGTGTTTTACATTACAGTTTTTAAACTGCAACATTAACACCCCTCCTTCAGAGTGCAGGCACTGTACTTCCTATCTCCAGGACTCAAGTCCGGCCTGCCGGTTTCCCTGAATCCCTTCATAAATGTTACTTCGCTCACACTCCAACAGCACGTCAAGTATTAAAAACCATTTGTCTCCATTCACTCCTATCAAACATGCTCACGCATGCCTGCTGGAAGTCCAAGCCCCTCGCACACAAAACCTCCTTTACCCCTTCCCTCCAACCTTTCCTAGGCCTAGCTCTATTGCTCCCTTAATATATGATAGTGTAAACATATTATAAGGCTTTTTATATGCATTTGACAGTGAAAAAAGGCTATGTTTCACTTTACAGAGGTAGTGTGGAACCTAACCTGCTTTATAAGCAGGGCCTGCCTGTATAATAATAACTGTCTCAGTCCCTGTTCAAGAAACTGACCCGATACTCAATCCACGTGAGACCAAGCAAGAGACAACTACCATACTCCCTGCCCAACTTGATACTGAACAAAGACACAATACGCAATACTCATCCATTTAATAGCATACTTTAATACCAAATTGTAGGTCCCTCCACCCTTTTAAACTTAGCCACAACATTTTTATCCTCAGTGAAGGATGATCCTGCTGTGTAGATTGATGAATCAGTTGCAACCAACCAAATAATTCTCTGAATTTACAGGTATGTATATAAATAATGCTGCATTTATGTATACACATTACACACATACACTAAGTTCAACAGTACTTAATGAAAAACAAATTAGGTAAGCACCATTAAATACAGAATGCAGATAACATATACACAAAAGGCAGTAACAGGAAATTTTATTCAATGGACATCTCACCTGCAAAACAGGCTTTTTCAACTCAAGATACTATATCTGGGGAAAAGGTGATTATACAGACAAAAGAAAGAAGAGATAAGGTGTGGTGGTAGTAATTTAGCTTTTAGGGAGCGGTAGGTCTCAACGATGGGCTTCGTTCAGCAATAGTATTGCTAAGTCTGGCAATATCTATTACTTTGCAGAATACATATCTGAAATATATTCAGTCCCTTAGCCTTTATTATAAATAAAACTCTACAGAAAAGATGTTCAGTCCCTTAATCTTGATCTACAATAAAGAATAAAATTTATGTAAACACAATTGTACAGAAAACCTCACAGAGCACAGGAGATCCTACTCTCCTTTGCTATATTATGTATGTACTAATTTACTGTACAAATGTCAACACAAACTTACAAAAATAAAGATAATTTATATTTATTTTGTAGATCAAGACTAAGGAACTGAACCCCTTTAAAATGTTTTACTTATAAATGAGGTTATTTGACTCCTGATAACTTGACTACATGTATATATAAAAAAAGTTTGATTTAGGTAGTTAAAAAATTGAAGATGTAATTCAAGTAGTTTTGAAACCTAACTTAACCTGCCCTAACATACCTTTCAACCTAGCATAGCCTAGCCTAACCAATAACCTAGCCCAACCAACAATTTAGCCTAACCTAACCAATACCTTAGCTAATAACATTCTAACCCAACCAACAATCTAACCTAACCAATACCCTAGCCTAACTAACATTCTAACCCAACCAACAATCTAGCCTAACCAATAAACTAGCCTAACCAATAACCTAGCCTAACCAATAACCTAGCCCAACCAACAATTTAGCCTAACCTAACCAATACCCTAGCCTAACTAACATTCTAACCCAACCAACAATCTAACCTAACCAATACCCTAGCCTAACTAACATTCTAACCCAACTAACAATCTAGCCTAACCAATAAACTAGCCTAACCAATAACCTAGCCTAACCAATAACCTAGCCTAACCAATAACCTAGTCTAACCAACAGTCTAACCTAGCATAACCAACAATCTAACCTAACCTAACCAAAAATCTAACCTAATTAAAAGTTAACCTATCTAACCTAATCTGGTTTAACCTACACTAACCTAATTTAATCTAACAAACCTTAACCTAACAATCTAGTCTAACCTACCCTACCCAAACTAAACCTAATCTTACTTATCCTACCTTCACCTAACACCTTAACATGACAATGTAATCTGATTTAACATAATCTAATCCAACCTAGCCTAGTGTAACCTACCCTAACTTGCTGTAACCTAACTTTTCTTATCAAATCTAACCTAACTAATCTATTATGACCTACCCTACCTTAACAATACAGGTGCTGAACAAAGTGACCAACCACTGGATCTGACTTCTCTCAACTCCAGCCTACGTGATCTCCTTTCCCCAGGTAAATTCCAATAACTTGTAAAAGCTTGTTGTACACGTGAAAACACTGTCAGAATAAAATTTCTGGTTACTGCTTCTGTGTCTATCATCTACCACATGTTGGTGTTTCTGTTTCTACATCACCTTAAATGGCACTTTATAGCCATTTTGGCTTAATGGGCAGCCCCTACACAATCATATATGAAATTATTACACAATAATAGAACTTAAATTAGAAAAAATAATCACTCAATTTACTAAGAGATGGAAACTCTCCAATTTTCTAATTCTCACCACTATCATCAATACTACAGGTAGTGTACAAATAAGATAATAAAATTAACACTCACCAGTATTGATGTTGTTCTCCCCAGTGTTTGCTGACAAAGGTTGGTCATGTAACCTTGAATGTGAAAAATAATAACACATTAGTGACATCCCATCATGTGCAATGCAAGTCAGTTTAAAAAAATGTAGTATTCACAACATATTAAACTACATATGAGGTGCTATCAAAAAGTTCCCAGACTGCCATAAAAAAATACATAGGCTTACTTTTTAAGCCAGTTGAAGGTGTTTCCTGGAAGTACTCTCCTTGGCAGGCTATAATGATCCCAGCATCTCTAACACTTCTTGAAACATTTCTGGAAATAATCTTTCCTAACAGTATCTAGCACAGTCCGCAGTTCTGCTTGAATCTCCTCCAAGTCATTAAAATGCCACCCCTCAAGTGCTATTTTTATAGTTGGGAAGACAAAGTTACAGGGGGCTAATCTGGGGAGCAGGGTGGGTGGGGGATGACTATGTTATTTTTGGCCAGAAAATGTTGGACAGACAGTGCCATGTGAGCAAGAGCAATGTAATGGTGAATGAACCAATCACTGAACATAAACAATGCCAGATGTTTCTCATGTCTTCCCTCAAACATCGCAGAGCCTTGTGTAAAAATTTGGTTAACTGCTGGAACAAATTCCTAATGAACGATTCCCAGTTCATCAAAAAAAGAAGGAAAGAAAAAAAAAATGAAAACATGTTTTTGTCTTGGTGTGCCTTGTTTGGCCTGGGCAAGTTGGGGGCCTTTCCATTTTGAAGACTGTCGCTTGGTCTCTGGGTCATAACTGTAGATCCAAGCTTTGTCACAAGAAATGACCTTAGAAAGAATATATGGGTTACCTGCACTGTTTTTTAGGTTCTCACAAACACCCAAGTGATGCTCTTTCTGGTCTTAAGTCAGCTAGCAGGGCACAAATTCTGCAGCCACTCACCTCAGTCAAAATGCACTGACCCAGCCCGTAATAAATTACCACAACACTTGCAATGTCCTAGATAGTCTGACAGTGATCATTGTGAATAGCCTTGCTCACTTTTTAAATGTTGATGTCAGTTTTCAACACTGATGGATGACCATGCTAACCTGATCAATCTGGCTGTTGCTGCTGGAGGCCCACCAACCCACATATCCACATAGCCTGGTTGATCTGGGACCTGGTGAAGATACTTGTCCAGTTTTCTCTTGTTCCAGCAGTGTTTAGGATATCTTCTGGTAAGATGGTGAATAATCTGGGGCCACGAATGTAGATACAGAATTCCATTATCGTGCCCACTGCACCCCTGCTTTTCACTGGGTTTATTTTGCACTTCCTCCCATATCTCTGGCTCCAGTATGTTATGGCAGTGTGCAGATTAGGGACCAGGCCTTCGAGTACCTTCCAGGTATGTATTATCATTAATATATCTCTCCCCTGCTCCAGTGAGTATACATTCACAGCTTTAAAGGCAGTTCCAGAAATTTAAATGCTTCTCTGGCTGTATATGGGCCATAAATGATTTCTGTATTTGTTCACGGTCTTGATTTCTCCTGCCTTGAATGGGGCCATCAACACTAAGCAATATTCCAAATGAGGGAGCACTAGTGATTTGAAAAGTGTCACCACTGGTATTATTTCCCTTGTTTTGAAGGTTCTCAATTCCCACCCTATCATACTCCTAGCTGTTGTGACCTTTGCCTTATTATGTACTTTGAAAGAAAGATCAGCTGACACAGTTATTCCCAAGTCTTTTATGTGTTCCTTTTGTTTTATTTGATGATCCTCTTGAGTTTTGCATAGTGTTCCTTTAAGTTCTTCCTTCTTTCTATACCTTAACAGTTGAAAGTTATATTGAACATCATGTTGTTCTCCACTGCCCACTGGAAAGCACTACTTATATTTTCCTGTAAGTTTTCAGTGTCTTCTACTGTAGTGACTCATGTTTATTTTAGTGTCATCTGCAAATGATGATGCAAAACTCTGATGGGTGTTTTTATCTATGTCTGCTATAAGGATGAGAAATAGTAGTGGTGTCAGGACAGTGCCTTGGGGAACTGAACCTTTACTTCACTGATGTTAGATTTTACTCTGTTTACTACTACTTTTTGTGTTCTGAGTGTTAGGAATCCAAAAATCCATCTGCCTACCTTCCTCATAATACTTATGTCCCTCATTTTGTGCTATAACCCTATGATTGCATTTGTCTGTGTATATCATATCTGCATTTTGCTACGTTTGAAACAGTGTCACAAACACACAAACTGTTCTTTTAATGATTCCATTCTGTTACACAACAAACTGCAACAATGCATTGACAAAATGACAAAAAATGCCCCAATAACCCCAACTGAAACTCACCATGCAACTTCTCAAAGGAGTGTACTGCAAAGCATGATCTACGCTGCCAGCGTATTTCACCCAGGAAGCCAGTGAAAAATCAAGTGCAGGCACTTTTTGATAGCACCTCGCATATGAAGATAAAACATAGCCTAAAGACCTCCCAAATATTTTATTCGCAAAGATTTTCTAATGAACATAATTTATTATAATTTAAGCAGCTACAGTACTTTAGAATACATGTCAAGCTGGCATGATCTCACTCACATATAAATTGTTATGCTTACAGAGATGTGGTGCCCTCCCACCATTAATTTAACGATATTCACTTGTATCACCAGTTTGCCCTTAAACTTCGTCTAGCAAAGTTATAAAAAATTTAAACCTTCAAAATTTTCACAGAGCCAAAACCTTTAATTTACCGTTATCAGAATCGTGTTACATTACTCTCTTGCATTTAAAAAGCTAGTGCTTTAGTATAATGGGGAGTCTTAGGTAAACATTTTGGCAATGAGAAGACACCCAAGAGCTTACCTGAGGTAAATAGTGATTGCTGTCTGTGCTGCATCCCAATAGAATCGGTTACTCCTTAAAACATCTTCTAGTCTAAGGAGTTCAACATAGGAACGTAAAGTCATCTTCCTCATGCAATACGTATGGAAATCAAATTGGTCTTCTATGATCTCGGTAAAATGCTGTAAAGATGAACAGAGAAAAACAGTTTTGACAGTGCTGTGAGAAAAATTTACTGTCAATTTCTATTACATAATTAATTGTATAGTAGTTTCTGCCCTTAACATTTTTATGTGTAATATTGAAAAAACAGGTATGTACAGATTTTCTTGACATTCATCAGGTTAAAAATACATACAGTGGACCCCCACTTAACGATCACCTCCCAATGCGACCAATTATGTAAGTGCATTTATGTAAGTGCGTTTGTACGTGTATGTTTGGGGGTCTGAAATGGACTAATCTACTTCACAATATTCCTTATGGGAACAAATTCGGTCAGTACTGGCACCTGAACATACTTCTGGAATGAAAAAATATCGTTAACCGGGGGTCCACTGTATTAGTAATTTCTTGAAGTATCAACATTTCTACACAAGTAAATAAATTATACATTGTCAATGATAAGTTTTACTCTTAAACAACCTTTAAACTATACCAACAGACAATAAGGTTTATGGTATAATGAAGAATTTGAATGAGACACAGACTTTGATTATTCTGTATTTCATCAAATATACAACAAAAATAAATGCCACCTCCAACAAACACTTACCCTATCAACTTCATGACATTTCCTAAGAGCATCTCCATATTGGCCAAGGCGGTAGTACGCTTGCGCACATTCGGTTTGGAACCACATGCACTGCATTTCATTCAAGTTTCCCATTGCTGACACACCCTCCTTAGTGAAAGAGAAAACATTAACTTAAATTTCCATATTTAAAACACATGGCCAGTAGTTTTTGTTGAAAAACATACAAGATTAAGTACAACAAAACCTTTCTGCAAAATAAGTAATCTAGCTAAAGCATGCAAATGACAGCTATAATTTTTTTGCTTCAACCTTGCCACAACTCCAGTATATCTCCAAATCCCATAAACTGCATACAAGAATTACTATAAGGGTCATGTATATACAGTATCTCCATCCTTTAATTATATATATACTTTTTTTTTTTTTTTTCAACAAGTCGGCCGTCTCCCACCGAGGCAGGGTGACCCAAAAAAGAAAGAAAATCCCCAAAAAGAAAATACTTTCATCATCATTCAACACTTTCACCACACTCGCACATTATCACTGTTTTTGCAGAGGTGCTCAGAATACAACAGTCTAGAAGCATACACATATAAAGATACACAACATATCCCTCCAAACTGCCAATATCCCAAACCCCTCCTTTAAAGTGCAGGCATTGTACTTCCCATTTCCAGGACTCAAGTCTGACTATATGAAAATAACCGGTTTCCCTGAATCCCTTCACTAAATATTACCCTGCTCACACTCCAACAGATCGTCAGGTCCCAAGTACCATTCGTCTCCATTCACTCCTATCTAACACGCTCACGCACGCTTGCTGGAAGTCCAAGCCCCTTGCCCACAAAACCTCCTTTACCCCCTCTCTCCAACCCTTTCGAGGACGACCCCTACCCCGCCTTCCTTCCCCTACAGATTTTATATATGCTCTCCATGTCATTCTACTTTGATCCATTCTTTCTAAATGACCAAACCACCTCAACAACCCCTCTTCTGCCCTCTGACCAATACTTTTATTAACTCCACACCTTCTCCTAATTTCCACACTCCGAATTTTCTGCATAATATTTACACCACACATTGCCCTTAAACAGGACATCTCCACTGCCTCCAACCGTCTCCTCGCTGCTGCATTTACCACCCAAGCTTCACACCCATATAAGAGTGATGGTACTACTATACTTTCATACATTCCCTTCTTTGCCTCCATAGATAACGTTTTTGACTCCACATATACCTCAACGCACCACTCACCTTTTTTCCCTCATCAATTCTATGATTAACCTCATCCTTCATAAATCCATCCACCGACACGTCAACTCCCAATTATCTGAAAACATTCACTTCTTCCATACTCCTCCTCCCCAATTTGATATCCAATTTTTCTTTATCTAAATCATTTGACACCCTCATCACCTTACTCTTTTCTATGTTCACTTTCAACTTTCTACCTTTACACACATTCCTAAACTCATCCACTAACCTTTGCAATTTTTCTTTAGAATCTCCCATAAGCACAGTATCATCAGCAAAAAGTAACTGTGTCAATTCCCATTTTGAATTTGATTCCCCAAAATTTAATCCCACCCCTCTCCCGAACACCCTAGCATTTACTTCCTTTACAACCCCATCTATAAATATATTAAACAACCATGGTGACATTACACATCCCTGTCTAAGACCTACTTTTACTGGGAAGTAGTCTCCCTCTCTTCTACACACCCTAACCTGAGCCTCACTATCCTCATAAAAACTCTTTACAGCATTTAATAACTTACCACCTATTCCATATACTTGCAACATCTGCCACATTGCTCCTCTATCCACTCTATCATATGCCTTTTCTAAATCCATAAATGCAATAAAAACTTCCCTACCTTTATCTAAATACTGTTCACATATATACTTCAATGTAAACACTTGATCTACACATCCCCTACCCACTCTGAAACCTCCTTGCTCATCCGCACTCCTACATTCTGTCTTACCTCTAATTCTTTCAATTATAACCCTACCGTACACTTTTCCTGGTATACTCAGTAAGCTTATTCCTCTATAATTTTTACAGTCTCTTTTGTCCCCTTTCCCTTTATATAAAGGGACTATACATGCTCTCTGCCAATCCCTAGGTACCTTCCCCTCTTTCATACATTTATTAAACAAAAGTACCAACCACTCCAACACTATATCCCCCCCTGCTTTTAACATTTCTGTCATGATCCCATCAGTTCCAGCTGCTTTACCCCCTTTCATTCTACGTAATGCCTCACGTACCTCCCCCACACTTACATTCTGCTCTTCTTCACTCCTAAAAGATGGTATACCTCCCTGACCAGTGCATGAAATTACTGCTTCTGTTTCTTCCTTAACATTTAAAAGTTCCTCAAAATATTCTTGCCATCTACCCAATACCTCCATCTCCCCATCTACTAACTCCCCTACTCTGTTTTTAACTGGCAAATCCATATTTTCCCTAGGCTTTCTTAACTTGTTTAACTCACTCCAAAATTTTTTCTTATTTTCATTAAAATTTCTTGACAGTGCCTCTCCCACTCTATCATCTGCTCTCCTTTTGCACTCTCTCACCACTCTCTTTACCTTTCTTTTACTCTCCATATACTCTGCTCTTCTTATAACACTTCTGCTTTGTAAAAACCTCTCATAAGCTACCTTTTTCTCTTTTATCACACCCTTTACTTCATCATTCCACCAATCACTCCTCTTTCCTCCTGCTCCCACCCTCCTATAACCACAAACTTCTGCCCCACATTCTAATACTGCATTTTTGAAACTATTCCAACCCTCTTCAACCCCCCCACTACTCATCTTTGCACTAGCCCACCTTTCTGCCATAGTCGCTTATATCTCACCCGAACTTCCTCCTCTCCTTAGTTTATACACTTTCACCTCCCTCTTACTTGTTGTTGCCACCTTCCTCTTTTCCCATCTACCTCTTACTCTAACTGTAGCTACAACTAAATAATGATCCGATATATCAGTTGCCCCTCTATAAACATGTACATCCTGGAGCCTACCCATCAACCTTTTATCCACCAATACATAATCTAATAAACTACTTTCATTACATGCTACATCATACCTTGTATATTTATTTATCCTCTTTTTCATAAAATATGTATTACTTATTACCAAATTTCTTTCTACACATAGCTCAATTAAAGGCTCCCCATTTACATTTACCCCTGGCACCCCAAATTTACCTACTACTCCCTCCATAACATTTTTACCCACTTTAGCATTGAAATCCCCAACCACCATTACTCTCACACTTGATTCACACTTGATATACATGTATATTTTTTTGTTTTTCTCAACTCATTGGCAGTGACCAAAAAATAAAAACAATTTTTCTTTACATGTAGTAACTTACACAGGAGAAGGGGTTTTAGTTATTACATACAGCATACCCACAAAAGAATGATCTCTCAAAAATGACTTTTTAAACTACATGGAGGAAGATTTGCTTGCCACTGATATCTGAAGTTCAGACTGCTTAATGCAATATCATGGAAATACACCAAAATTGAATGCTGAGCTATCATAATGTAATCCATTATTCTGCCACATCTATTTTATTACAGATTTATTTGGACTAAGTATTAAATTTATTTGGTGGATATAATTTACTGTTGAGTTTTCATTATGGATCCAAATGGCATACTGCAACAACAGAGAATATATTACAGGGTTTGCCAAGTAAGTTTTTAACACACTGAGGGTGGGAGCTATAGTACTATGGCTTTGAAGTGCAGGATGATGGTGTAGTTCCACATGATGAGCTTGGCTCTCCCAGGTAAGCTGTGAACTGTAAACTTGGGCCTAGACATAAAATAATCATGCACCATGTAAAAAAAATCCGGCGGTATGCAGTACATAATGGGAAAAAATAACTGATAGTGTTTTTGGTTCAAAACAACGAATTTGCGGTATATTTTTGTATGGTTTTTATGGTTGCATTCTCGGTGTCTTGGTCTTATTTGATAGAATGGAAGGTATATTACAGAAATAGAGATGTTTTGATTGGTTTCAGAACTGAAAGTAGCTTGAAATTGAGCTCGAATAGTGGAAACATTCAGTTTTTACTGATATTCCAGAGAACACAAATTACGTCAATCATCCAATACACGTCCAACTGGTCGGTCTTATAAGCATTTAGGAATGTATACCTGGAGCATACCTAGATAGGGTTTTGGGGGTCAACGCCCCCGCAGTCTGGTCTGTGACCAGGCTGACAATTTTTTTTTTAACAGGTCAGACATCTCCCACCGAGGCAGGGTGACCCAAAAAGAAAGAAAATCCCCAAAAAGAAAATACTTTCATCATCATTCAACATTTTCACCTCATTCACACATAATCACTGTTTTTGCAGAGGTGCTCAGAACACAACAGTTTAGAAGCATATATGTATAAAGATACACAACATATCCCTCCAAACTGCTAATATCCCGAACCCCTCCTTTAGAGTTCAGGCACTGTACTTCCCATTTCCAGGTCCGACTATATAAAAATAACTGGTTTCCATGAATCCCTTCACTAAATATTACCCTGCTCACACTCCAACAGATCGTCAGGTCCCAAATACCATTCGTCTCCATTCACTCCTATCGAACATGCTCATGCACACCTGCTGGAAGTCCAAGCCCCTCACCCGCAAAACCTCCCTTAACCCTTCCTTCCAACCTTTTCAAGGATGACCCCTACCCTGCCTTCCTTCCCCTACAGATTTATATACTCTCCATGTCATTCTACTTTGATCCATTCTAAATGACCAAACCACCTCAACAACCCCTCTTCAGCCCTCTAACTAATACTTTTATTAACTCCACACCTTCTCCTAATTTCCAAACTCCGAATTTTCTGCATAATATTTACACCACACATTGCTCTTAGACAGGACATCTCCACTGCCTCCAACCGCCTCCTCGCTGCTGCATTCACAACCCAAGCTTCACATCCATGAAAAGTGTGTTGGTACTACAATACTGTCATACATTCCCTTCTTTGCCTCCATAGATAAAGTTTTTTGTCTCCACATATACCTCAAAGCACCACTTACCCTTTTTCCCTCATCAATTCTATGATTAACCTCATCCTCTCCCAAGTATCTGAAAATATTCACTTCTTCC